AGACCTTAATCATAGTATTGAGTCGGTCTTTATTGTGATCAAGACCGACCCAATCTTTACACCTTGGCTCTTTAGGCTAAAAACTCTCATTGCATTTCTTACATCATAAAAATGGTTTTAAACTTGTTTAAGTCATTAAAAACACTTGGTGTTCGCCCAAACCAAAAACCAAGCCATCCAGTGTTCGGCTTTCAGAAACAAGCGTTCGGCTTTTGGTTGTCGGGTTTGGTTTTTTTGGCATCCGAACCAACCAAGTGGTTTTCAGCATTTTATGATCTGCTTTCACTCTTTGGCTTGTTTAAACGGTTCTCCAGCAAAAACACTTTGAAAACCATCTCTCGCTTTTAGTCGTTTGACAAAAACCACGCAAAACGGCGTAAACTTGGCTAGCCATGGTTTTTACTCAAATGACGTGATTTTTAAAGTGTCTCACTTGATTTCTTAGCCAAATACATCAAATAAGTGTTTTAAACACTTGGTTTTTATTTTGGAGAACTTTGGATTTTTCAGTCGGTTTTTGCATCGGTTGGCTAGGCCGTGGTTAAGGCAAAAACCATAGGTTTTTGGCTAACCACCCACCCAGCGATGGGAAGAACATCCCATCGATGGGTAAGTAGCCCCTTAGCCAAACCAACTTCCAGAACCATGCCAAATAGTGATGGGAAGCTCTACCCATCGCTGTTCAAGCCTTGGTCCAACATTATCACAAGGCAGAATGCCCTTACCCAGCGATGGGAAGCTTTACCCATCGATGCGAACCCAGCGATGGGAAGGCTAAACCATCAATGGGAAGGCATGACCATTGGAAGTCATTTAAGGTTGATTCTTTCCTTCTTTGGAAGTCAACCTCCCACCCAGCGATGGGAAGCTTGTACCCATCGATGGGTAGGTAACCGGTGGCTTCAAAACTGAAGGAAAATTTGCTTACCAGCGATGGCTAAGTTCCAAACATCGATGGGAAGCCAATATCCTGCAGATCCCAAATTTATTCAATCCCATAAATCAAGCCAATCACCCCTTTAATGCATTGGTCCGTTGGAGCCTATTTTGGCACTATAAAAAGGGGTGTTTGGGTCTGCTTTTCACATCAATTCACTTCACTTTATTCATATTATCATTGCATCCAAACAACATTATTTTCCATAGCTTTCTAAAGCCAATTTGGGAAGTTTGAGTTGTTCTTGAGCGTATATAGTTTACTCAACATCTACTCTTAAAGAGAGTCTTGTTCTTGAGTGTCTTAGTGTTGTATACACGTTAAGGGAAGCTTGTTTCCCTTGGTTGTACGAAGGAAAGGTATTTTCCTTCGGGTTGAAGTCTTGGAGTGCGGTATCTCCGAGCAAGTGTTGTTGAGGCTCGTGGGACTCGAGTTCTCAGGTTGTAACGGTTTGTTAAGCACCCGTAAGCTTAACGGAAGTAGTGTAGCTCGAGAGAGTCTCTCGGGAGGCTGGATTAGCCACAAGTTGTGGTGAACCAGGGTAAAATTCGGTGTGCCTCTTACTCTTCTCTTTACTTCTCTTTTAAGTTTTTTTT